ATATATATATATATATATATATATATATAATTTAATTATTTGTTTGGGATGGGGCACGTGTTGGGGCGTGATAGATCTGTGGGAAACGGACAAAGGAGGAGAGGGGGCAGGGGGCGGCTTTGGTGGGAGAGTGTGAGTAAATGTGAGGTCGTAGCTGCCTCTCATTAAAGGGGTGCTGACGGGGATCACATTTACAGCTCACCCTCTAACGGCGCCGTTTTCACCTACACTCACTTAAATCGCTTCTTTATTTCATTTGTTAATTATTATTATAAAAAATCTTCTATCCTCGTGTGAGTTTTTTTAAAAAAAATTTTGCAGTACGCATTCATTAAATTTTTTTATGATAAATTATTTATTTTTATTATTAGGGTTTAGAGATTTTAATTGACCCTATAAAACTAAACGTGTAACATGTAACAAAACATAAAAACAAGACAAAAGAGTTTCTATTCTATTTATATTGATACGTTTGAACAAGTGACGTAATGAAAGTTTCAATTGTACTTGGTCCTTGTCATTCATTACCCAACTTTTATGCTGAACAAAAGAACCAAGTCGTTATTTTATTTCTATGTTCTTGCACTTTTAAATTTTTCTTTCGTTCCATCTTTTCCTTTCCTTTCCTTTCCTTTCTTTGTTGTGTTTTTTAAATGTTGGAGAGCCAAACCATTGACCATCTAAAACTATTGTTATCATCACCATCGACAATAACAAACAGCATTGCAAGTATTAGAACTAAAGCACTTAAAAGGGGTTGTTAAACTAACTCAGGTCCGATGTCGGTGGTCAGCAAAATGCAAACTCAAAATGATGGGGGAAGCCATGTGGTCCAAAATGTCGTAATTACTGCATTCACAATGTATAATAAACCAAATCAAACAAAGAAATATATATATATTTTTATATTTATATATATAATATTTGAGAAATTGGATGTGGAATGTAACATCTTACCAACTCTTTACAGAAATTTGTGTACAAAGCATATAAATCTTGGGCGTTGGGACAAGACATATATTGGTTTCAAATGAAGGGTAAGGAAGACCAACATGTGTGGTTTTCACATGATTGGTAAAGTGCAAACGTTTCGAGTATGTTCGGACCATTTTATTCTCCCACGTTGAAACTCTTTAAAAGGAAGCTCTAGGCCACATTTTGTAACTTAAAACAACTATTTTCCAATCATGTTGGTCTATCTCAATAACCACTTTTCATGACATGAAACCCCAACAGCGTTAATAGGTTTTACACCAAACAAAAATCTGTTTTATCTGATTTAGTGTCTCTTTCATAGATTTACATTAAATGTTTAGTGAAATTCTGATATTAGGGTTAAGGATTTAAAACTTAATTTTATTTATTTATTTTTTGTATTTTCCTGCTCTTACTTTTGAATCTTTAATATCAATTGTCGATTAATACCGAAGATTTTCCTGTTTTTTGCCTCTAGCTCTAGGCAATGACTGAGGCCCAATGAAAAAGTATTGTTTAGGTGCAATGGCCCAAAAACCCAAAGGACAACGTTCAAAGTTTGATTCTGCTGCCTTGGGTTTTGAATCCTTTTTGTTCTCATATGAGGAGCTGAGTGGCCCGGATGAGCTGAATTGGGCTCTTATCGCCTGTGACTGATTCTTTTGCCTGTCGGATGAAGCCCGACTGATTCTTTTGCCCAGATGAGCTGAATTAGGCTTTTACCATATCTGAATGTTTACATGAGAAGTCAGCCCGAGATGAGCTTTCAACATGAATAGGTTTTGTCGTTTCGAAAGGTATGGGTTTTGCCACATGTCATTCATTATCGAATTCACATGCCAATTTCTCCTCCCCGAAGGCCAGAGGCCTAAAAGGGAATGCTGTTGGGGTATGGGAATATTAAATTGATAAATAATTAACCAATAATTGCATTTTAAATCTAGTGTTCCATTAAATAAAAGAACCACCATATTTAATTTCTAAGCTAAAGAACCTTTAGAACTCAATCGATATCATCATAATAAACATAAAAATTTATATTTGATATATTATCAGCTCTGATTAATAAATAAATTTTAAGAATTAAATTTTTTTTAAAAATAAATATTCATAATTTTAAAATTTTTAAAATAATTAAATAATAATAATATGTAGTCTATTTCTTCACTCCTCTGCGAAAATGAGCAACCTTTACTGAAAAACATAGAACCGTTTGGCTTACACCTTTGTGCGCGTGTGGCACGAAAGTTCGCGACGGTCCAATCGTGGTTCCGTCTCGTGCACCGGAAAAGGTTAAAAAAATTAGGAAGAATAAATACTCACTCTCGATGCTAATAAAGAAGGAATAAGTGCTAACCCGACAAGCAAATAAAGAAAAAGAACAAACGCGAAATGATAACATCAGAGAGGTGAGAGAGAGAGAGAAAAAGAGATGGGAAACAAAGATATACAAACAATGTCGACATAGTGGCGCTCATTTTTTAACAACAGGTCGCAACTGTAGACTCCACCGCTTCCCATTACCTTACCTTTCGTCAACCAATGTCGACACTCTCTCCAAATTCCGTCCCTTTCTCTCTTCTCTGCCTTCTAAACTCAGCTTGCTATGCGGCAGCCTATAATACTACGACTTTAACATCATCATACATCAACTCCAATACCATCAGCCTTGGAACTGTTCGCTTTCTCACGCTTTTCATATTTTTTTTCCTTCTTTTGATTGGGGTAGAGGGATGACACAATCTTTATACGTATGCTTGTGATCTAGAGATTCTTGGTGTTCTTCACTTCGATTAGTCATTTGTCATTGTAAAACTTAAAAAATAAAAAGGAAAACCTCCCGTTGTTTATATTTGTATATATATTGATCCCATCACCGGCTTTGCTTCAGATTTTCTCTTCCTATGTTCTTCATCGAGGTTAGCTTCTCGGGATTCAAACCCCTCCTTTTATTGTCTAGATTTTTGTCTTTGTTTCTTTAACGTGTTGAATATTTTGTTGGGTGTGTATATGTCAGGATATCTGGCCGCTGCTCCACCTTAATCGTTTCGGATCAAAGACGAGGCTTTTCGCAGGTAATTTTCAAGACCCTTTTGTTTGTTTTCCATTTCTGGGTTGTTGACAGGTGGGAAGCTTTGAAAATCAAATTAAAAATCGAAAACTTTGATTTTGGGTTAATGGATTCATAGTTTAACCCAATTGATTTTTAGAAAGTTAATCAGGTTCAACCTTTCTAGAAAGTTGTCTACCTTTGCCAAAATTCTTCAATTGTATGGAAATTTGATCAGTTTCAATCTTTCTCTGACTGAGTTTTATTCAATTGGGCAAAAAAAACCCAGAGTCCCTTTTTCAGACAGTAACCGATTCAATGACCAACGCAAGCTGCCAATCATCGGAGCTAGAGGTTTGCCGTGACGAGTCAGCCGCATTGAAGCTAAAGCTTATAGCAATAGCCTCCATCCTCCTTGCTGGCCTCGCTGGCATTGCTATTCCGCTCATTGGCAAGCACCGTAAGTTCCTCCGTACTGATGGGAGCCTCTTTGTTGCCGCCAAGGCCTTCGCCGCCGGCGTAATTCTTGCTACTGGCTTCGTTCACATGCTCTCTGGTGGCAATGACGCTCTTACGGATCCTTGCTTACCAAAATACCCTTGGTCAAAGTTCCCATTTTCAGGGTTCTTTGCTATGATTGCTTCTTTGGTTACTTTGCTCGTGGATTTTGTGGGGACTCAGTATTATGAGAGGAAACAAGGCTTAGCTAAAGGAAGTATGGAAGAGCAGGGTAGCGTCGGGTCGGTGGAGCCGGATTCGGAGTCTGCAATTGTGCCAATTGTAGAAGCGAAGGATTGGAATGGGGGGAAGGTTTTTGGGGAAGAGGAAGGTGGGGGCATGCACATTGTTGGGATGCATGCGCATGCAGCGCATCATAGGCATAGTCATCCACATGGACAGGATGGTTGTGATGGGCTAGTGAGGAGTCGTGGACATGAACATGACCATGGACATGGGCATAGTCATGGGCACGGGCATGGGCACGGGCATAGTCATGGACATGGACATGAGCATGGCTTAGGAGGTGGGGATGATGATAGTGGAGTGAGGCACGTTGTAGTTTCCCAGGTAATTTATATCTTGTTCTTAAACTCTTTTGTTTCTTTGCTTTGCAGTGTTGGTTAGTTACTGTGCTTTGTTTTTGCTTACGCTGTTGTTTGGAAGTAAATTAGTGCAATTTATTGTGGTCTTTCTTGCTGGGGCCTGGGGGTGGGTTAATGCCTATGATTCAGAAACTTTACCTAACCCAGTGGTATGTGATTTGTGTCGTGTGGGACCTCCTGCGGTTTTTTTTCTGACCAAAAAAGCGAAAAGTAGATGGTCAACTTGAATTTTCGGCTTTATTGGTTTGGTTGTCAACTTGAAAAAGGTTAAACTTATGGCCTGGGGGTAGGCATTGGCAAACAAATCTAACTTCCTTTTAAGTGTTGTCATATCCTAATGGTAGAATTCTAGTGGGATGTTTACCGACGTACGCCTGTGCCTCTCATTTAGTCAGTGGAGACAAGAATTGCTCCTTTTCACTCCCAAACTTGGCTTTATTTCTCTTAATATGCCATAAGTTTGAAGATTTAAGTGTTCACAAGCCTAATTCCTATCTGCTTATTTTCATCTCATATGGCAGTGCATACGTTTATTACTTATTTGTTAGGCAAAACAATGATTGCTAGGAAAATCTTTTAATTTTGTTTAATTAACTTTTGGTGATCAATCATCCATCTCTGGTTTGTGCAACTGCTGTGACGAAATTTAAATGGAGTATAAGCACTCGAGGCTCTTCACTTATCTTTGATCAGTCAAGTCAGTTATGCTAATTGTGAGTGACATATTGTTTCCAATAGTCACCTTGTTGGTTTTCCATTCAATGCCTTGCAAAAGTGTCTTGATTCATATTAAGCTTTTTCTTCTTGGCTGACTAAATTTTGGTCAAGAAGTTTGAGCTGTTGATATTTGCATATTTGTCATGGTTGTAATGTGTACTGTAGGTGGAACAACACTGGTGAAAATTGTTGCAGCATTTGCTTGTTGGTTTTGAAAAACTTTGCAAATGAAGGCATGTCTCTTTCTATTTTTGCAGATTTTGGAGCTTGGAATTGTATCCCACTCAGTAATCATTGGCCTATCACTGGGTGTTTCGCAGAGTCCATGCACAATAAGACCTCTAATTGCAGCATTATCATTTCATCAGTTCTTTGAAGGATTCGCACTTGGAGGCTGCATCTCCCAAGCTCAATTCAAAACTCTATCAACCACAATAATGGCATGTTTTTTTGTCATAACAACCCCAGCTGGAATTGGCATTGGGACTGCCATTGCTTCATTCTACAACCCTTACAGCCCAGCAGCTCTGGTTATTGAAGGCATCTTAGACTCTTTGTCAGCTGGAATTCTAGTTTATATGGCTTTAGTCGATCTAATTGCTGCAGATTTTCTTAGTAAGAGGATGAGCTGCAATTTTAGACTTCAAGTAGCATCTTACTTTATGCTCTTCCTAGGAGCTGGTTTGATGGCTTCCCTTGCCATCTGGGCCTAAATCTTAGTATTAGAGGAGACTGTTTTTTAGTTCTTTTTTTGGGAGATTTTTTTGGGAAGAAAGCTGCGGAAATCATAAAGTTTCTTTTTTTTTTTGTGAATTTCTTCAACAATGGCAATGAAGGCCGCATACAAAGGAAAAAAAATGGTAGTAACCTTAGATTTATGATATACTGTCAGGTTCCACACCATTTTCACCTGTTGTAAGAGGCAATACCCCAAAGTGAAAGGTATTCATAGTTCAATCATCTTACTCTCCCTCCCTTTTCATTTGTTTTTTTGTTTTTTTACCCTAAGAGGCTCTTCGTGGAACACTTTAGTGGCAATGATTGGCTGATATGTAGTCGAAATAGTTTGCTTTTAGATGAAAAAATTGGCCTTGTTACTAATCTCTGTCTCTCCAATTGCTTTAAAAAATGGTTCTATGGAAAAGGTTTGCAGGCATCTTGTTAAACATTGGTTGGTGCCCTGTGGTGTAAACTAGCAATTCCAACCTTAAAACAACAAGAAAGAAAGAAGATCTTTGTCGCTAATTTTGAATGACGGCACGGCTGAGAAAGAGATGCTTGGCAAGACAAACAAAAGACCATAAAGATGCCGAAGTGTGTTACTGTCGGAACCAAAGTAGTGACGGTGGAGAGTTGTCCTTGAGAAGGAAAGGAAGATCCTTTATCTATGGTTAAATGTCTCCTCTTTTTAAGCTTATATCCTTGTTGTTTAAGATTGATTTCACCGGTGCATAAAATGTCAAGTGTCGCCAATGACTAGGAGAAAAATTATTAAAGAGGTAGGGAAGTAGCAAATAAGACTCTGACACAGACATTTTGTTGATAAAAACGATGCTGTACTTGTCTTAATGAAAACAAAAGTAAATGATATGAACTCCTTATAGTTCAAAATATGTAGATTGAAAGGGTGGAAGCGGTGAAGGATTACAAGTCAAATCGGGAAATGTTAAATGACAACCTGATAAAGTAGTACCAGAAGAATGATACCAAGTGTTGGTGAGGCTGGGTCGTTTGGGTCTCCACCCTGAATATTTAATACATTTCTGACAAGCTACGTTTTACTAGAGAAGCAGTAGTAATAATTTATCAGGAGGGATTCAAATCCGAATGGGTTTTGTCCAAATCTACAAATAATTAAACCTTCTCAGTTCTCGGTAAGCTTCAGTGGCCATAAAAAAGGTTTTGACTTGAAAACCACTGAGGTGTGGTCATTTTCAAGCTGGATCTCCTCCCGCAGCGTAACACTACGGCACTGTTCCACTCACACCGACTGCCTTAAGTCTTTGTTCATGCCAATTCTTATCCGTCCATCCACCCACAATTCACCAAAATGCCGCTCTTCTCTCACCGCTCTCCTCCCCAATCCTTCCTTCTACTCCTCCTCCAAACGCTCAGGCCTTCGAAGCCCATTTCAACCCTTTCGTCGACTCGCACTTCCCTGCCCCTTATCGCTTTTCACTCCTCTGCCTCTTCATCGGCCTCTCCGGAACACTCTTCGCCATCTCCGCCATCCGCCGCCGTCAACCCTTACCCGTCTTCCGATGCGGCAAATCTGAGGACACCTTCCGAGCGTTTTACTCTTCCTCTGTTTCTGGAAAGCTCGGCGATGAGATAACGAAGGCTTTGTTGATCGCCCCAAGCTTCTCGGCTTCGTGGGCATCCAAACCGGGTTCGAATCAGGTGATCGACGGGATGCCCTTCGGAGCACCTGGTTTCCCTCCGACCCAGATGGTCTTTTAAGGTATGATTCAAAGTTCTTCAATTGGGGTTCTTTAATTTCATATAAATTGACATTGAATATGTTGGTAAACATAGTTTGCCCTGCTGAGTTTAAGGTACCTGACAAGTTGATGGTTTTTCCTAGGTTGGAGCAAGCTACGGGTCTAAGTTTCAGGTTTGTTATAGGGAAATCGAAAGATGTGAAGAAAATGGCAAAGCTTGAGAAAGAGATTGAAAAGTACAGAGATTTTATGCTTATAGATGTTGAGGAAGAGTATCATAGGCTTCCTTACAAAACGTAAGAAAGTTTTAACTTTTATTAGCACTGTCTTAAAAATATAAGCAATTGCTTGTACTATCATGGTGTTTAAGTTAATCCATTTTTTTTTCTTTTTGCCCTACCATTTTCAGATTGGCGTTCTTCAAAGCAGCTTTTAGACTTTTTGAAGCAGATTATTATGTCAAAGCTGATGATGACATTTATTTGCGTCCAGGTATCCAAAAGTGTGTGTGTGTGTATGTTTTCTAGTGTTTATGTGTTGAGTCTGATGTTGAATTTCTTTGCTTCATCAGATCGGCTTGCAACTCTTCTTGCTAAGGAACGAAGCCATTCTCTGACTTACATTGGGTGCATGAAGAAGGGACCTGTCATCACTGACCCTAAATTGAAATGGTATGATATTTTCATCTAGTTACTTTTACCTCTTCGATGATATGTATTCTACCTTGAAATATGTAAAGTTTTGGAGGATTTATTAGTATAAAATTTCAGGTATGAGAAATCAGGACATCTGATAGGAAATGAGTATTTCTTGCATGCTTATGGTCCTATATATGTTCTCTCTGCAGAGGTGGTGGCTTCCTTGGCAGCTGCTAGGAATAACAGGTTTGCCTTTGCTTTGAGTTTGATTCCACTTGTTATTTGTTAATTATTCTTCATATTGAACTGACTGTAGAATTATGTTTCCCTTTTACTTATGCAATTAATGATCTTCCCTTTTAAGATGCAGATTAAGGCATTATTCTTTGCAGTTGTTGGATTGTGTTTGGTTTTTAGTGTACCTGATTGCATTTCTTTGGACAAAATAAAAACGATGTGAATTTGCGATAAATGCTTTCTGAAATGATTATTATTGCCTCTGTATAGTTTTTGACATTTAACTATTTAAGTGAGGGCCTTTTCATTAGTTTGTCTTGGAAATTGTATAGTTGTTTGTTGACCTAATATTATAAGTCTAACATGCTAGGTGTTCCTTCACATGAGGACGAGTTTTAATATAATAGAATGGGTTTACTTGTGCTTATAGCTCATCTACACCCAACTTCTCTTCTTTTTGTTTTTTTGAAAATTACACCAAACTTTCTACTTGTTGAGAATCACCATGCTCTTAAACACTGCTCACTTTCATAGAATCTGACTTCTCAGTTATTCATTTGAAATCTGTTGTAGTAAATATCTGTTGACAGTTGACAGTTAGACAGTTGCAGATTTTAATCATCTTTCACCTTTTAGTTCAATCAAAAAGTTTGGTTATGTTGCAAATATATAGTTCTAATTATCTCACTTCTGCATTCTGATATCTTTGTCATACTCTGTTAAATATGGAATAGAAATGACCAACTCTGTAAGATTCTCAAAGAAAAATGTATCAATAATATAGAAAATCAAACCTGTTCTTGGTTTTATTTGTATGGTTTGTTATCCTTGTTATTTCTCTCCACTGCTCTCTAACCTCTCAATTTGTTTTCCTCCTATAGCCAATTCTTTTTATAAAATGCTTTGTTCCACTTTCAGTTTGAGAATGTTCAACAATGAGGATGTCACTATTGGATCATGGATGCTAGCTATGAATGTGCATCATGAAGATAACCGAGCGATATGTGATCCTCGATGTACACCTACATCAATAGCAGTCTGGGATATTCCAAAATGCTCAGGTGGCACAATCACATTAATAAGCCTTGTTATTTTAGATTTTGTAAACAAAATGTTTGAATTTGATATATGCTTGGAATGTGGAGGTCGTGCTGAGATTTTTATGATATGCCTGTTCCTTCTCCTTTTCCTTTCATATAAAGTGCAAATGTTGTTGCCAGAAAAACATGTCATTAAGATCCTTTTTTCAGAAAGTTGCTCAGTCACTTTTTGCCTTCCCATTTATCTACCTGGCTATCATAGGAGATCCTTTGCACCAGCTTGTAATACTAAAGTAAAAGGTTATTTCTTTTTGTTTATCTTTTGATTTCTTATCCTTAGATGTCATGTTCATCTCGATTAAAAACATAGACTACCTAACAAAGCATCAGGGCCTCAAGGCTACAGTTATATATACACTTTGTGTTTTCCCTATAAAAGCTCTATCACAGGCATTATTATATGGGTCCAAAAACCTTGGATTTGCCCATACTTGTGATAAGTTTCTGCTAATAACCTTACAATTTTCATAAATACAACTCTAGATATTCAATGAACATTTTCAGATTCATTTCTATTGCACACCATGACCTCTGTCTTTGTTTATTTACATTAATATTGTTATTACTTATTGCCATTTGGAAAGTGCTCTTGTGCTCTGATTTTCAGTAGATTTTTGAGACTGGATGTTATTGAATTTTCTGCTGAATTCTACTTACGATGGTAATGTAGCGAATTTCAAAATTGGTGTGGGAGACGTTGCTACGTTTCTCTGCACGTTATTAGTGTGGAGAAAAATGGAAAAAAATAAAAAATAACATATAAAGATTCCAGAATTGTACAAAAGTTGCATGCTCTGAAGTTGCATATCTGTCTGTCTAACTGCTAATACTTTTTATCCTACTCTTTGGGTAATGCTCATGCTATGCTTTAATGAAGCTTCCTGAAAATTTTAAATTATCATGGGAATGGACAAGAATTTAACCACCAAGCTTAGTATGTTGGGACCACTTTCTCATTTCATATGATCTGTATGTCTAATACTCCCTGGATAATAAATTGGTCTCCATTTTCAGGTTTATGCAATCCAGCTAGCAGACTGAAGGATCTTCATAAGATAGGTATGTGCTCCAAAAGCCCAACATTGCCTCCTGATGACAGATGATACCTGGCTTGAATTTAGCCGGGATGTCAATCCAGCAAGGCGGGTTGGTTTCTTAAAGCAACCTCCTGGTGTGGTAATTGTCGTTTGTTCTTGCTAAACTTGTTGAAGCATTCTGTTCTTTCCCCACATGCCGTGATGAGGCTATCAGAAATGAGAAAACCCCCCATAATGAAATATATACATTATAGGTCCTATCAGACAATATGTAAAGATAGCTGTGCTGGAGAAGCATACACGACTAATGAACCTTCTGAAGGAGATTAGACCTTGGAGATGAAGCAGAAGTTTGTATTCACTCGATCATAGGTTTCTTTGAGGCACAAATATCATCCCTAATGTGCTCAAGTCGCTGTATACTGTACATGTTGTAATTGTTTTACTCACCCATGAAAATCAGAGTATTCAGCTGCCAATTTCTTTTACCATGTTTTCAACTCATATCTATTTCTAGGGGAGACAAATTCCACAAAGGAAAGTGATGTGGTAGTAAGCAAGTATTTGTGTAGATGAATGTGGTTGCACGGGTGGGTAAAATCCCTTGGAAGGAGCAAGACAAATGTTATTTGCATGTATCTTTTTTTTTTTCTCTGGAACAGCATTTGCACATATCTGATGACACACCCTTTCTTACTACCATAAGATCCCTTCAAACCGACATTGCATGTTCTGTTGAATAATTGCAGAGAATCTAAATAGAATTGTGGTAAATGAAAGCGGGCAGACATTGGGAATACGAAGATGCAACTCCCTCCTCTGATTAATGCAAAAGTACATTTGCAAGTAAGACTAGCTGACAATGTTAGGCATGCATATCCAGATATCCTGCTTCCCTGGTAAAAGAGTGCAATGAATTCCCTTACCTAACGTATTGGCTGATGGTCCATGCATTTTACCCACTTTCTAAACCGTTGAATTCAGAGCATTTACTACTACTACTACTAATCCATTCTGATACTAATCTTCTTCACGAGGCTTCTGATAGAGTAGTGAATGTATAGCTTAAAACCTACAAGGAAAACTTGCCTTTACATTACAATTCAAGTTCAAGTCTGTTAAGACCTTAATTATACACTCCCAACGTGGGGTTTAAAGACATTCAATTTTCAAATCTCTTCCTTGTTTTATTTTTCTTCCTTGTTTGGTACTTAGTCTACTTGTTTGGCAATTGGTCCTAGTACTCAATGTAAATACAAAAGTACATTTTTCACCTGATCGGAACTAGTACTCCTACGACTTTTTTTGTACTAAATATCTTTTGCCTAATTTTATTTTTGATGAATCATCAACATTGATACACGATTACTAAGATTTTTTATAAATGTTTAAGTTAATTTTACTATCGATTTTAGATTAAGCTTTTGAAAGTCAATTAATCTATATCTCAAAAATTAATAAATTAGTAATATTTAGATTTGAGTTATCACAATTAATATCATAACATGTGCTAGTTCGATATGAATTTTTAGATTGTATTAATAAATTTTTTTATAAAATAAAATTTTTATTGTGATGTATGGTCAAAAATTTAATAAATAGGATTGTGATATCTTTTTTTATATTAAATATGAATATAATTATTAATATATATATAAAGATTTAAGTTAATTATTATTTATATTTAAATTTAAATTTTTTAAAAATTACATGCGACTTAAATCAAAAAAATTGCTGAGCCACTGGTGCAGAAGTCATACAATTAGGACAGCAAGATTTGTCGGTTAATTAATGAAAGGGGCAATCTCGTAAACTTAAAACACAAAATTGCGTTCCTCGAGGCAATCCTTGTCGTTTAGCCAACACAGCGCTCCTTTGGGCTTTTGGCTCACCTGATTCTCTCCTTTAAACACAGACAAAGTCTTCTCTCTTTTTCACTTTTTTATCTTTTTTTTTTTTCTGTTGTTTATTTCATGTTCAAAACAAATGTTCCTTCTTCTACTTCTTCCCAAAACTGACAACTTTGACAAATCTTTTGTCTCTACTTTCGTCACCTATGCCCGCCACGTCACCAACCTTACACCGACCGTCCTACGTGGCAGCACCACTTCCCTTTGCCAACGTGTCACTCTCGCTCTTCCTTCCTCCTCTTTATAATAATACGCGTTACTCTTTCTTCTTCTGCACGCTCTTCAACCCTCAACTAAAAAAGATGATGATGCTAGGAAAAGAAGGGTCGAAGTCGCCGGAGACTGAGCTTTACGGCGATGTTGCTGGGAAGTTAAACGTCTTGTTGTCCGATTCAGACGACGAAAGCGAGTTCTCCAATGAGGGTTTGGTCAGAGAGGAGAAATTAGAGGAGATAATGCAAGAGCTTTACAGAGAGATACAAAGCTCTCCTTACAACACTTCACCACCAACGGTAACTTTGACGTCGCACCGTCATCGTCGTCTTCATCGCAGTTATTTTATCTCCCCGCGCCGTTCTTTGCCGTTAGCGAAGTCAAGAGTGAGAGCTGTGGGGCTTCAATGTCTGACTCGGCATCCACGTGATGGCTGGCATTGAGTACTGGGACCCGCAGGTAACTTCCCCGACTTGAAGGTATGGTTGCCGGAGACCGGAAACGGGTCACTGGAGAATATGAGTTATGGGTAATGGGATGGGGATGGGGATGCGGGATGGGGCTGGGGTTTGACGACAATAACGGTAATGTAGCAAGGAGGAGGAGTAGAGGGTTTTGGAGAAGCAAAAATGGAGGGCTGTGATGAAGGGGAGGTCGGTGATGATCAATGGCTGGCAAGAGTTCTAGGGTGGGGTCCACTGGAACTCGAGGAGTGGACCTGACCTGAAAGCTGAGATTGGGATGATTGACGATCTTGAGTCCCATCATGGAGTTTACCGTACAGAGTATTAAGGGAGAGAGAGCACCCTTATGGTGTAGGTACAGTGTCCTTAGGGAAGGTAGTTCTGTGTCTATGTGGGGGGGGGGGGTGGGGGTTTAGAGTTTTTGTACTTACCTTTTTCCTTTTTCTCTCATGGTCGTTTGGAATCCTCTTACTCTTGTGCAGAGTACTCCAGAACCAGAAGCAACCAGTCGCATTTTCTTTTCTCTTGATTTCTTTCTTGTCTTTTCTCTCCCTTTTTCTAGTTCCTCTTTTGTGCATTGGTTCCATTTGTCATAAGGCTTTGAATGGATGCTTGCTAAACAACCATAGGAAACCAATATATCACCTTTTTTTATTTTTCTTTTTTGCATGAATTCTAGCAATGCTGGACTCACCTCGAACTTCGAGTTTATCTCATCTCATCTCATCAATCCAAGTAAATATTGAACCCCAAAACAATAAAACCTAATCAATGATACGTGAAAAGTATCATACTGACTTACCAACTTAAGAATAACTAGTCTTTCTTTATTTTTGCGCTTGAATTTGGCACCCAATTGCCTTGTTTTAAAGTGCTGCAAGTGGCTAATACTGTTAGGGCTCACGGACTGGTCAATTATGATGTTGCTTTCAGGAATCGTGCAATCTGATGACTATTTCGGGTGAATCATTGGAAACAATATGAGATTAAATGTATCGTTCTTTGTCAGTATGTGTGGAATGTATCGAGTCTTCTCCTTAACTTTCATGTTTTAGAAAGGTGGGTAGGGTTCAGCTCAAAAAGACTGTGAGTCTACAACTGCTTCTTTTGTGGGGGTGTGAGTTATAGCCATTTGATCAAGACATTTAATCCCCCACAGAATGGTAAAAGATTGTAATGCGTTCCAACCAAGGGATGCCATCAGATCTCTCAGATATATCATATGTGATAGTCATCGACGCTTAGTATACAAATGATCAGGAACAAACATTTGATGAGAGCACTTATTGCATCAATTTCAGAGCAGAGAATCATGCTTGATTCTAGCGGTTTAAACACTTTGAACACTTATTGCAAGGAAGGAGCATGAAACACCAGGTAGCAGTTGGTTCAATCAATTTGTCTCCACAATAAGAAGTTTACACAGAAGATAATTCAATTCATTAAGTCGTTTACCTCAATATTAAGAGATTTTGAATTCGAGCATCGATCACTTCTATTTTGTACTATTTAAAATATAAGCTTCCCACGATAAAATGAGTAGAGAAACTGCATATTTACAGATTGTCGATCAGGGGTTGAAGAAACTTATTTACTTCAAATTTTTAAGATTAAAAAAAATGGAGAAGAAATTAAAAGTTCCCAAAGTTCCTTTTGCATCGTTTAAATGGTTAATAACTTAATTGTACAAGTTCAAGATCAAGTCTTATTTCTTAACAAGGGGTCATTCAGAAATAGTCTTGGGAAAGAAGGAAATGATCTTCTTCATTGTTCATTTTACCCAGTAAAAGCATTCCAACAAGAAAAAAAAAATGGGAGAAGACAAAGGAGGGGTGGGGAGGATATATATGCACATAGAGCTTTACCTCCGAGATGCTGCTTAGGCATTTTTGCATCATATTGGCAAAAGGTGCCAAGACAAAGAGATGATACAATTAAAGCTTATTTTGACTATAGATATTAATGCAACAGTAGCCAAGGAATATGGTAAAGAACAGACTAATCATCACTATGGGTAAAATGTGTTTTTCCATCCTTCGCCAATCTTGCAATTACTTTATGAGTTACATCAGTTGCAAGACTATAACGTACATTTCAACATTAATTGTATTCAAGCCTTATCAAAGGATGCAAAGGAAGTACTTCTAAACTTATTGTACAATTTCTTGTCATGAAATAGTAAAAGATGAGAATTGTTCCTGAAATGACCGAAAGAAATAATATGCTTGCAATGGCAGCAACTCGAGAAATGTATACGAAACTTGCTTTGTCTATAATTCTGGTAATTGAAATTATTGCTGGACCAACGCCCCCGAGAAATTTACTGCTGAACCTAACCCAATGCCTAATTCGTTGTCATTCCTAGACCCATCCACCTAATTTCCTACCTAAGAAGATGTGTGCACATCACCCAGTCACCTACTTAACAGATGGAACCCTCGGCCTTTTGCCTCTGGCACCATGAAAGTCGATAAACCATACGGGGCTAGAACGAAAGCCATGGTTGGTTTTCAAGCAACGAATTGAACAGCTTAAAAACTATTGGATATTACTGCACTTTGTCAATTATTGTTGCCATTTAGGCCTTTTAGACGATGGACTCTGCTGGCTATAGACACAAGCTAACGAATACATTTTGTTTCGGTCTCGGAGTATATTGAAAACCTCTCTTCTTCATAGCTTAATAATTCGTACGTGATTGCTTGGTCGATATTTACCTGCCTGCTTTAATGGCCTTAGATCGTCTGCTACGTTCCTGAAATATGGCTATGAGGCTCGACTTGCCTATGCAAATTTGTTTGTCAGCATTTATGAGTAGCAGCAAAGAACAGAATATTGCTCCAAGAAAGTTTTCTTTCAAATAAATATTCCCTATATATTCACAGCATGTTGTTGCAATAAATTTGCCAGAATTCTTCTTAATTTTTGCCCCAAAAAAAAGGTAGTTTCTAGGTTTCAGGTTTTAGTTAGAGTTTAGATGCTTAATTAATGATGTCAATTTTCTCGAGAAACTGTCTCGTGCAATTGTTAATTTTTTCGTCATTCGATTAAATGAAATTTGTTAAGATGATCAAATTTAATATATTTAACAAACTTTGTAACTGTCAATCTTATAATTTACTCGAGATATAACTAGAGGTATCGGGACATAATAATATTTTATTTATTAAGCAAGTATGTAAGATTTCCATTTATTTTTGAACAAAACTATTGCATAATGTGAAAGTAGAGTACATTTGTCCGATGAAGCCACTCCTGGTTATGGCAAGCCTGTTGTATGTCGACTCATTAAGTAGCAACAGCTGGTATACAAACAAAAGGACCAGATCATTCTAACACGATCAAAAGAGACTTTGGGCAAAAAGATTCAAAGAGAAATCAGCAACCAACAAAAAAAAAGTTGCTCAAATCCATAATGACAGCATGCATTTGCTGCTCGTATCATTAATCTTGCTTAGTCCTCACCGGAAAAGAATAAGCTGGAAAACATGACAACCCAACCCACTATAATCAATGGGGGGAACCTACGGATTATATACAAAAAATATTAAAAAATAAAAATAACAAAGGGAAAGCTTCAGTGGTTGACAACGCAACTTACTGCTGCAAACCTCCATCTAAATTGCTGAATTTGGAGACTTTGGTCCACCATGGTCTGCCGTTGCTGCCTCTAGGTTGAGGACCATGATCAATTTCCATTACCCTTTTGGGTTCAGTGGCTCCTCGGTTTAGGCTTCTATAATAAGAAACCTCCAAGTCTTAATTAGCTGTTGCAACCATTATTCTCATAGGTCGCCAATCCTATATTCCAAGGCTGGACCTCGGCTTCAAAACGACTGAACCTTTCGACCTAGCTAATTGAATGTTCTCGTTACTTTTGGCAACAATCGAGCTTGAGTTCAAGCGAACCAGGGCACTGTGTCACAAGGTCATTATCCTCTCTCCCATAAAGGCGCTTAAAAAGGTGCGCAGCACCGCTTCCGACGACTCCCACTGGGCCCATCGACCTCAACCCTGCCTACCTCGGTCCGTCTGGGCGCTTGACGTGTCGCAGGAGTGTCGGAGAGTCAGTCATTACCCTCTTCCCCATAAACGCGCTTATAAGGGTGTGCAGCACACCCGCTCCTGCACATCTCCGCTTATAAGGAGCCCAGGACCTCCCGTTCCTATTCGATGTGGAATAGAGACACTTTTCTCGTGACACTCTCTCCCACCCGATTCTGACAACGTCCTCGTTGCCGTCGGCCACCCTGCCTACCCTGAGTCCCCCTAGGCCCGGGCGCTTGGCATGAGTCAGACGAGATCCGGTTCGCTCTGATACCACTTGTCACGGGATCATTACCCTCTCCCCCATAAACACGCTTAGAAAGATGCGCAACACCGCTTCCGAGGACTCCCACTAAGCCCACCAGCCTCAACCCTGTCTACCACGGTAGGTCGAGGCGCTTGGCGTGTCGCAGGAGTGTCGAAGAATCAATCATTACCCTCTCTCTCATAAACGCGATTATGGAGGTGTGCAGTACACCCACTTATAAAGAACTAAAGACCTCTCATTTTTGTCCAATGTGAAATAAAAGTACTTTTCTCGTGACAACTGACCGTTGCTTACAACGAAGTTATGAATGGATATGGGTTGACTTTTCCGCTTTGCAGTGTTATAGTTCTACAGCCCACAATAAGCCTAGTGCAGAACCCAGAACAGTAGGATAGAACCAGATAGTGCTGATTGTTACTTTTGTGGGCGGCCCAATTGGAATCAAAATTCTCTTTTTGATGCCTAATGGGCTAAGCTGTGGAATTACTAAAGTGGCCCTAAAGCATATTACTTACTAAATATTTTCTGGTTTGTGTTATCTTATCAAGTTTTGGATGAGAGATGTACATAAATAGGGTATCCCTGATTTTTTAAATATTTTAATTTTAATTTTATTATTTTATGAGGTACTTGAACTTTATAAATATCTCATTAAATTATTAAATTGCTACTCAAACCTTACCTTAATATTTTATATACTACCCATTAAATACTCATCCAATTACATACTCGAGTAAAATAAATTTGCATTAATTGTTTATGTATATTAAAGTTAGTTCATAAAAAATAAATTAAAGTTTAAAATCATATTTAAAACAATTGATGAATTTTAATAAGTATTATATTAATTTTAAGAAATTTATAAACCAAAAAATATATACATAAAATTAAAATTTAATAAATCATTATTTATAATCAAGTTTGGATAATGGATATTTTAAAATCACTATCTAGATCCTACCCGAATCCATAACGAGTAATAATTTTACTATCCAATTTCTATTCAAATATAGTTATAAAGTGTATCTTAATCTTACTTAATGGAGTTAGATAATATAATACCCGTTAACATCTTTAAAATAGATTTCATCTTTAAACTTTCACTCTTTTAAAATATTTGCATTTATATATGTTTATATTTAAATATAGATTTTATGAATGGCGAGCCGGGGGAATATGGGGTCTTGTTCTAGCGAGGAAATTGTCGCGTAGCCGAAATGCCACGGCGGCAGGAACCCCTCATCAAGCGAAGCCAATCATGATGGATCATCAAATTCTGTCTCCATATATATATATATATATATATATACTCCTATTATTATCATCGCATTTGTAATATTTATCTGCTTTCAGACGTCGATGCATACATAGGGAGTGATTCACAACAGTCTACGTAGCATGTCTTTGGACCATTGAATCTGTTGCATGTCGAGACTAATCTGAGAGATCCTCAGAATCACTCATATTTTGTCTGGTCTCACCCAGAGACATCTTTATACGCTAATATGTTGAGATGAGTTGACGTGAAACAAATCGAGTGGTGCCAACGCCAGAACCCCTTTGACGATTCACTTGCTTATCAGAGGTATCTTCAAGTTGAAAGAACAAAATCTTGTCTTTTTCTTTCAAAATTATCGTGTAGGTGTTGTTTGTTTGGTTTCATGAATACATAATGGAACTGACTTCAATTTGATTTCATGGATCTCAGTCTATCGATATTGATCACATTCCCCTCAATTTTAACGTTAAAATGTTTGAATTAAATATCTTTAGATTTTTTTTTATGAATTTTGTAGTTTTAGTATCTGTGTTTTGAGATGGTAACTATCCACTGCTTGTGGAAGAGTATCGGTGAAGTTGTTTTTGTACATACCTATACCTTTCATGAGATTAATGCATTTGTTGAGTTTTTTTTTATTAAATTCGATGTTAATAAATTAGACATGTTTTATATAAGTTGGTAGTTTGAGTTAAATACAAATTTTATAAGATTTTCGTGAGATGTTGTGTAAGTTTTTGAGATTTTAATTTTTTTACAATACGTTGTTTGTATAAAACATATTAAATATATACATGCATATACCTATATAGGGAATATATAAATTAAATTAAATTAAATACACATACAAGAAAAGGGAGGCGATATGGGACAAGAAAGCGAGATGTTGTGTGAGGACCAAAGTATACGTAAAGGGTAGAAAACAGATTGTCTTGCATCTGCAGATTCATGTAATCATTGCTTTCTCATGTGAGCAGCTAGCTAGCTTGAAGATGGACATAAAGAACTCTGGGTTTCCAAAAGAAGTTTTAGTTTAATAATTTCATATGCTATTTTCGGATTGTGTGTAACTTTTGGTCTCAGACAAAGCAAGCTTGTAATAGGTTACTACTGTTCTGGTGCACAACTGCCCTTGACACTTGAGCATCAAATGACAGATCAGTGAAGAGGATAAAAGGGGGAAAGTTAAGAGTGGGAATAAGTTAAAACCGAGGGTGGTAGAAGGAAATATGAAAGATGAAGAATGGTGGATCAATTTGGCACAAGGAGTGGGGACTAAAGGGGGAGCCACTGTCGCTAGCCTGCACAAAGCATATGATGGTTTTTTGGCAAGACTTCCAGCAGAAGATGCTCCCATGCAAATCTACAACCTATCTCTTCATATCTGCAAAATCCTCTCAAATTATCCTTCCCAAACTTAATTTATTTCTTTACAGGTTTGCTCGGTTTGTTCTGTTGCATTATTCTTTATCTAACAAGACTACTTAATAACCCCAAAAACAGACTGGTGACAGGCTTGACATTCAATTGATAATCATCTCTTCACTGCTCCGCTGAAAATCAAATTTAGTACCACTTACTTGTGTAGTATATATCTATAAAGAAACAAAATGGTCATGACTGATTTAAATGGAGGTAACCTTTTTTTTTTGAATTGCACATATCTTCTCTTTCACTGGTAATCTCTGCACTTTGCAGAGCTCGGGATCCCAGACACATGCATGTAAGCCTTTTCTTTTTTTGGTGTTTTCAGATGGTTATAAAACGAAAAAGAAATTAATGCTTTGGAGGGGGAGGTGAAGGGGGGTTAATTCATCAGTCCTTTATAGGAAATTTTCCAAGATGAATTAAAAGTTGAATAACCGAATACCACGATTTCATTTTCAATATTATTAATTTGCTCATATGCAAGGGATTCTATGACCAAAAACTGGGATCTTATTTATGTTTGCACGTCCAAGGGAACTAGTTGCAGTAAAATTTTTGGGTAAAGTTAAATTGCTACAGCTAGCTCAGATACTTATGTGTGAAAACTAAAACTTCATCGGTTTCACTTGATGATGGGATATACATGGGTGGTGCATCAGTGTAGAACAGCTTGCAATTGGAAGACATTAATGAGTTTTTGAGCAATAACATTGAGGACAAATACTGGCATGTGGGCGTGCAGGGCAACAAATGCAACTGCTTTATAATAAGAGCAATGTCTATCAGTTGATATTTATCCCTTATATAGTACTCTGTGTGTGTGTGTGTGTATAAAAATATATATATATATATATATAATTAATTTTGAAATGGTTTTGAGGGGCAAAGAGGAGCAGATAGGGTTTTGTCATACTGGGGTTGAGTAGTAGCATTCTACACCCCCTTTTAATTTGTCTTGTTTATCTTGTTTTGTTTGGGTGACATGAAGTCACGTGAATGCCTCTCAGGCCTCTCCTTGCCCCTCTTCTTTAATTACCCTTCCTCCTTTATAAGACCCTTCAACAGTATTAATTAGGCACTTTGCCCTATCCCATTTATATCATGGTCCCTTTACTGGACAACACAGCAAGCTAGCTACAATTCTCTGATCTTAATACCTTCTCTCTCTTTCTTTCTCTATTGCCATGACACCGGTGTATCTGAATCTACCACCCCTGCCTTTTCCCCTTGTGGAGCTAAAAGAGGAGCAACATCTCCAGCTTTTTCTTTCACCCCAACAAGCTGCTTCTTCTCTGTCTGCTTCTACTTTCCTCAACAGTAATACTGCTTCTCATCAAGATCAAACAGTAACTAAACCTGAAGAATCAAAACCCCATGATCACAAGGCAAGAACCCTCATTTAACTTCTTTTCTATTAAGTTTCTTTTGGTACATCTAAGTAAATTCATGTTCCTGCTGGTTTGATCTCATGTTGTGGTGTTATTTTGTGATCCCAGGTTAACCAATCACTCTTTTCTAGCTAGTTTCTTGAATATTAGCTCATGATCACAAGCTAATTTATATATATAGCCACATCTTTTAATCACTTCTGGCTCAAGTACTGATATATTATTCAATTGTACTTCAACAATGTTAAAATATTGTACGATTTTAGTAATTAAGTTAGAAATAGTACTCTTGGCTAGAAATATAATATCGTTTGATCTCTCTCTTGATCTCTTAATTTCCTCTTCTTCCATCAAAAACAACATAGACTCCTATAGGTTTCAATATCTTAATTACTTACTTCTTCTCAGTATTTTGGTATATATAGTAAAATGATACCTAGATGTATTTTATGTGGATGTGAATGTTTAATCATCTTATCTTCTATCATAAATATACATAGGGCAATCAGTTTATGACTCATGAGGGATCAATTGATCAACAAGCAAGCTCATCATCTTCACTTCAATCTACGGTTGATCAAAGCACAGCCAATGGCCATAATTTATCCTTTAGTAGAAAAGAGGATGGCGATTGTGAAAGTGCAAGTGATAACGGATCATCAGTAAAATGGATGTCCTCCAAGGTGAGGCTAATGAAGAAAATGATGAACTCCAATTGCAGTGGAGCAGATGATAAACCACCGAAATTTACACACAGGTTCCAATATCCGGTGCATGATAGCGATGAAACCATTTCTTTCAGCAAAGCCAATAACACCGTTAGAGTCTGCTCCGACTGCAACACAACCACAACTCCTCTTTGGAGAAGTGGCCCTCGAGGCCCCAAGGTAATTAAGTTATATTGTAATTTCCTATTTGTCTATACGTACCCCATACCCTTGTAATTAATCTAAATAAAGTAGCGTATGTTAGTAGTCTTTTTATACTAAGTTTGAAAGGTGAAAATGTGCGCAGTCCCTTTGCAACGCTTGTGGGATTCGGCAAAGGAAGGCAAGGCGAGCCATGGAAGCAGCGGCGGCGGCGGCGGCGGCGGCTGCAAATGGTGCAACTGCAGCAGCAGATGCATCATCTATGAAGATTAAGGTACAGATCCACAAGGAAAAGAAATCGCGTACGAGCCATGTTGCGCAATGCAAGAAACAGTTCAAGCCTCCATATTATTCCCCTCAAAGCCAAAAGAAGCTTTGCTTCAAGGAGTTTGCTTTGAGTTTGAGTAAGAACTCAGCTTTGCAGCGTGTGTTTCCTCAGGATGTGGAAGATGCCGCAATCCTCCTGATGGAGCTATCTTGTGGCCTTGTTCACAGTTGAATTCCCTTCACCCCCCAACACCACCCCCCACAATAAGTTTTGTTGCTTTTATGAAGGAACTAGTAATAGTTGTTTTTGTGTGTGACCAAGGGAGATAAAAGAATGATCCTATATGTGTAGCAAAACCCAAAGAAACAGAAAAAAAAAAAAAAGGGGTTTGCTTCATTATAGCCAGTTTATCTAGAAATGATGAAAACATTAAGAACATTCTAAAATTTACTAGCTGTTTAATTTCCTAGAGTTAGCCAATGCAGGTCAACATTAATCACTAATTCCAAGTTTTACTGTATATATGATCTTGCTTTTGTTGGAGTCTTAAGGAGGAAATAATATTGAAAAATCTCCCTAAAAGGATGTTAATTATATTAAATATGTTGCTAACTTGAAACAGATAGCAATTAGTAATATTTAGATCAAAGAGTAAGTTGAAAAGTGAGATTGGATTTTAGTGTTTTTTTTTCATTGGATTTTATTGCTTGTTAAAAGTTTCTTTCAAGCAAAAAAAAAAGATTTTATTAATAATAGTATGGGGAAAAAATCTTAATTAAACCTTACATCCAATTTCATATATACCCATATAAGGCATGCATTTCTTTCGAATTTTATATATAAAATTTGATTCATTATCAATATATATTCCAAAATTGTAATGGAGTACGTTGTTATGTCTCATTAAAATCTTTTCAAGTAAATTGTGTTCATTTCTTTCTTATAAATTGATTTCAAGGTTTTTTTCTTGTTTTGGCAATTGTTATAAGCTTCAAAACAAATTAACTGGCTTGAATACATACCTCAAGAAAATAATAATAATAAAAGAAAGAAAGAAATTAAAGGCTTGAGCATACTCATTAATAATTGTAAGATGAAGGATCCTCTCCTAGCTAGCCCCATGTGATGGAGTTGATAAAACCCTGCTGTTACTATTACTAACACTGCAATGGGAAAATTATGAAATGATAGGTCACGGGTGGACAAAAGCACTTCTCTCTTTTTCAATAGGTATCTCATCCTCATGTCATTCATTATGTCAATTTTTGGTCTGAACCAGACCAGTCATCTGTGTATATGGACCGTGGAGTCTCTTTTCACATGTCTATCATGTTTTAATCACTCAAAATTGTTTAAAATTTTAATCCAAGCAAAGCAACATTACTAAATAGTTTTAAAAAAAAAGCATTATCTTCTCTTTCGACCCATTTATATATGTTATTTGCAAAGTAAGAAAATGATGTGTGACGGAAAAACGCTTAAGCAACTACTAATAAATATGGTGGAAAATGAAGAAAAAAAAGCCCCACAGTAATATGTGAAAGCATCTTTTAAGTTTGATGGCCTTCTTTCTACTACCGTTGCCCCTCGACTAGAGCCTAGAACTTAGATTAGATCAACCTTAGGCTACTGCAACAGGAATAACGAAGAGAAAAAACCAAAATCAGAGATACTGATTGGATAATTAATTCCAAGAAATCCCAGAGTATAAATGCACTGAATCATGGGCTATTGGAATATGCACAGCATCATTGTCTGGCTGTCTTGGAAAAGAAATCAATGATCGAGAAAATAAAACCAAGATTCATGGTGCTAATCTGTTTCCATTGAAGCAGAAAAAAAAAAAAGGTTAAGACTGCTTGGAATTTGATTATGTTATTGGTAAAATGAAAACCATAGATTTAAGTTTCTATGGCCTTACATTTCCCCGACCTTCCCGTTCAATTCGAAGATACTCTACCAGGACTGGGGAGTATTTATTTCCCCACGGGTCCCTACAGCATGTGCTTTCATGGGTGTTAGGTAAAAGCTCTATCTCTATGCTTAGCTTAGCCTCCCAGCCAGGTGGCCCTGTACCTCTCAATCAATTTTCCATTAGCACCATTGTTTTTCAACATTCTTTTCTAGGTAACATCTCTTCGACTCCTTGATTCTCGCTTCTCCCACTTTCTGAAATCTCCATGTAACTATGACAGACTGGGATAGTTAATAAGCCAAAGCTGGGTACCAAATTAATGGCGAAAAGGCTGCTAAGGAGGTCTGCACTCCAACACTTTCCCTTCCCACAGGAAAGTAAAAAGTGACATATTCGAGTTTATTAAGACTTCGAACCTGTTGGGCTTAGCTTTTTGACCAGCAAGAACCAACAACCCCCATTGTTATGATACTATTTGTAGTCTAGAATATGTATGTATAAAGTTAATCCAACTTTAACTAACTAATATTATTGTAGTATAATTCTAATTACGTATAATAATCTAATTAAATAATTTGTATAATTATCTTAACAATAGAGAAATCTCATTGAAATAGAATTCTGGGTTAGTTGGATATTTAGCTAAGTAGTATCTTGATATATAAAATTAAGAATTAAAAAAATAAAACATGACCCAAGGAGCTATGTTTTAGAACTTAGAAGCAATAGTTTTGTGCTTTGACCCCCCTTTTTTTGTTTTAAAATTTAAGCAATGGTATTCAAGGTATAAACAAAATGGCAACCGTGCGATTTCAATCGAAGGGTCCCAATTGGAGCAAAGAAAACCGGATCCACCACGCAGAAGAGAACTCTGACTCCTATCAGTTCCAACGTACAACGTCAGCCACAGACGACATTCCAACTCCGAGGAAGATCCCATAACTTCAATTCCCAGATATACACTCCCACCCAATCTCTGGGTCCCAGCCAAACCAGCAAACAAAAAATTTCCCACAAAAATAATTAAAAGGAAATATCAGTTAGATTTCACATTCAGATTTTCAGACTGGGAATTTCCATGTGGTCCAGGATATACAAAGTAAATAAAAATCTAAGTGAGATTCATTTGCTGGAAAGCCTTGTAAACCATATTAACCTTAAGTGTGTTTAACAGATGTGAGGTGGAGGGTGAGGGATAAGCTGGATTGGGAGATTGTGAAAGAGATTCTGCCAACACAGAATCTCCAAGCTTCATTCAAAAAAGGATCAAAATTTTTTTGATTTATTTCTGGGTTTTATTGGAGAAGAGAGGGTGAATGAATTGTGATCCATTGAATCTCAATCTGTTTTCCTGCAATTGCTTCCATTCATTTTCTTTTAGAGATTTGTGATTTTTTTTGCAGACTCTGATATATTATATCTCAAAAACTTCAGTCTTTTTCTCCATAGGTGTAGAGTTAGTCACCACCCACCGCGACCACCATATTTTGAAGCCCACAAAATTCTTTAATTTTTCTCATAAAAATAAAAATTTTTATAATTTGAGATAGTCATTCATTTAAGCACAACCATATATAAACTATTTATATATGGACAAATTACACTTCCGCTTCCACCAACCCACCTCTCCTCTCAGTCACCTCATGAAACAAAGCCTCTTTTCTCTCAACAACCCAAGTTTCTTTTTGTATTTCCATTACTAGAACCAAAAGAAAAACAAAAAAAAAAACCTCCTTTTGTGTACATTCATGGAGCGCGCAAGGAGGGTGGCTAACAGGGCAATCCTGAAACGTTTGGTTAATGAAGCCAAGCAATCACGCAATGGTGAAATCAGCTCTAGATCACCTGTTTTGTACACACCGTCAAGGTATGTATCTTCACTGTCACCATTTGGTTCTAAGAGTTATAGCAGATCAGATTTGTCAGGGGCTAGAAATGTGTCAAACAATGCTGGTTTTGGTGTTGGGTCACATATTCGATCTATTTCTGTTGAGGCATTGAAATCAAGTGATACTTTTCCCCGCCGCCATAACTCTGCAACCCCTGAAGAGCAGACCAAAATGGCTCAGTCGTGTGGATTTGATAACCTTGATTCACTTATTGATGCAACTGTGCCTAAAGCTATACGTATCGATTCCATGAAGTTTTCTAAGTTTGATGGGGGGTTAACTGAGAACCAAATGATTGAACACATGCAAAATTTAGCATCAAAGAATAAGATTTTTAAGTCTTTTATTGGGATGGGTTATTATAACACTTATGTTCCCCCTGTGATTTTGAGGAATATAATGGAGAATCCAGCTTGGTACACTCAATATACTCCTTATCAGGCTGAGATATCTCAAGGGCGTCTTGAGTCTTTGCTTAATTACCAAACTATGATTACGGATCTTACTGGATTGCCTATGTCGAATGCTTCACTGCTTGATGAGGGAACTGCTGCTGCCGAGGCAATGGCCATGTGTAATAATATACTGAAAGGAAAGAAGAAGACTTTTATCATTGCTAATAATTGTCACCCCCAGACAATAGATATTTGTAAGACCAGAGCTGGTGGTTTTGATCTTAAAGTGGTTACTGCAGATCTTAAGGATATCGATTACAGCTCTGGTGATGTTTGTGGGGTTTTGGTTCAGTATCCTGGTACTGAGGGTGAGATTTTGGACTATGGAGAGTTTGTTAAGACCGCTCATGCTAACGGTGTTAAGGTTGTCATGGCAACCGATTTGTTGGCATTGACAATGCTGAAGCCCCCAGGTGAACTGGGAGCAGACATTGTTGTTGGCTCAGCACAGAGGTTTGGGGTGCCGATGGGGTATGGTGGCCCTCATGCTGCATTTTTGGCTACTTCCCAAGAGTATAAGAGGTTGATGCCAGGGCGAATTATCGGTGTTAGTATTGATTCTTCAGGGAAGCCTGCTTTGCGTATGGCAATGCAAACCAGGGAGCAACATATTCGCAGGGACAAAGCTACCAGTAACATCTGCACAGCTCAAGTAAGAGATTCATTGTTGATCTGATTAATTTTGTATTTTCCTTTAGGAACTACTTCTGTAGAGGTTTAGAAACTGTGGAATTTCTAAGTATTAAAAGTTTTTAGATGGGCTCAAACTTATTGTCAGGATTATGTTAGTTATACATATTTCTCTTTTTCTAAACTAACAGAACAGGTCCTTAGTATTTGAACTAATTGGCTTTGCTTTGTTTGATTTGATATCTTGTCTTATCTAGGCATTACTAGCAAACATGGCTGCTATGTATGCTGTTTATCATGGACCTGAGGGCCTAAAAACCATTGCCCAACGTGTCCATGGTCTTGCTGGCGCATTTGCTTTGGGACTGAAAAAACTTGGCACCATGGAAGTCCAAGGGCTTCCCTTCTTTGATACTGTGAAGGTTACATGTGCTGATGCCCATGCAATTGCTGATGCTGCTTACAAGAGTGAGATTAATTTGCGGGTCGTAGATGCCAAAACTGTGAGTCTGATTCTATCTGTGGTATTATTTTGTCAAATATTATTATATATGGTG